GGCTAAAACTGGAATATGCCAGGGCCTGATGGCAAGAGGTATTGGAGGTAGAAGTGGGACTTTGGATTCTTGGTTGCCTAAAAGGACAAGGAAGTTGGGTACCTGAGCGTCAGGGGTGGGCCTGTAAGAGTAGATCCTGGACAACAGGAGAAGATGTGGTAGGAGCAGAAGTTTCCACTGAGATTCATGGGGAACGGAACTAACGTACATCTTACTCTTCCTCCTTTTTTATTTGGCTACTCCTTCCAAATCTAGGCTGCTGTATTTATGAAAAACCTCGGGCCTTTGGTGAGAGCTCCACAGAGAGTGAGGAGGAGGAGGATGAAGGCTGTGGTCATACACATTGTGTACGGGGCCACCGCAAAGGACGGCGTCATACAACCCCTGGACCGACACCCACCACCCCTCCCCAGCCTCCCGACCCCTCCCAACCCCCTCCAGGGCCAATGCAGCACTAAATTCCTCTCTCCCCTGCCATTCCCATGTCTGTCTGGCCCTGAATGTATCCACGTGGCTATCTGGGGACTATACCCATGGTTTGAGCCTTCTTCCAGCCCTCTCCTTCCCTCTCCTCTGCCTGAGAGAAGAAAGAGAAACAAGAGGGTGAACAGTGATCCTGGAATTCTGACTTGCTGCTATTCCAGAACCCAGACTCCTGGGTTCTCCCAACCCCCATTTCTCCTCCCAGTACCGCCTCTCCTTTCTCCAGGGATCCAGGCATCTTGGGCCCAGTCTCCTTCCTTTGTTCTCACTGCCAAACTGCCTGTCTTGGAATCTAGTTATCTTGGCCACCCTGCAATCTCAACATGACTTCTGAACACTTAAATTGGGTTTTCAACAGTCCCAGCTTTCACTGCCAGGGTCCCAATCAGATTCCATGCAATCTCGCCCCAGCTATGCTTGTTAATCCTGGCTTAGAGCTCTTCCACTGATGTGTTTATATAATCCCAATTCTTAGTCCATGCCTGTGGGATATAAGGTCTTAGGGGAGACCTCAGAGCTCCTAGCCCTTTCTCTCCTACCTGCACCCGTTATTGCCAAAAGGAATGAGGAGAGAGGTCTTTGTCGTCCCCTTAATGGAAAATGGAAAAAGAAATAGTCCTGTCCTCTCTCCCTCTTCTCATCCAATCTAGGTTTTCTGACAAAGCTGGCTTGAGACTGGTCACTTAGAACAAACTCTCTCTTCAGCCTTTGGGTTTCGGCTTCAGAAACATCCACCATAGTCCCAGGGGCCTGGGTCCCTGGGAGAGGAAGGAAAAGGGAAGGAGCAAAGAGGGGTGCGTTCCTACAGCACACTCTTCCCCTTCCTGCGCTAACGTCCGGCCCTCCTGGCCCTCCCCTCCCCTTACTGGGATCTGGCTATCACTTCCAGGCCTCTCAACATGCAGAAATCAGTCAAATCCGTACCACCACTGAGATCTCATTTATTGCCACAGATGCACAAAATAAATAACCCAACATCAAAAATGTGTTAAATACGGGCCCATTTATACATGTGTTTGTATGTGGGGGATGCTATGAAACTGTGAGATGCCTGGGCCACTCCCGGGCAGAGGAGTTCAGCACCACTGGTTCCTGTCTGTGAGTTTGTGAGGCAGAAGGTGTTAAGAGGGTTCTTAATGGGAAAAAATGCTATTAGCAGGACCAGCAGTTAGCATAATGGCTATGTCATTGGGCTCCCATGTAGTCGACTGCGGTTTGAGTCCCGGACCTGGTAGCTTTAACTCACGCCAGGTGCATGTGTGTGTGTGTCCAAGATACTGAGAGGAGAACGGAGAAGGGATTGCGGTGTGGCCATCCCCCCTGGGGGGTGATTTCTCGCTTTCTGTCTCTTTCTGTCTTTCTGGCGAGCACATGCACCCTATAGCAAAAACCTCTCAAAACACAAATAAAAAATGCTATTAGCTTAAAATGTCACAGAAGAGGGTTGAAGTAGAACCGGCTCACTCCCCTCCACCCCCAAAAGGAAGTGTCAGGCGTCATAGGGGGAGCTAGGGCTGAGGCCAGAGCCAAGCCTCTTAGTTGAGGAGGAGGCTCTTCTCTTGAGAAACCTCAGTGTGGGCAGTGTAGGGCAGCCTAAGCACTACAACTGGGAGGGCGCTTGACTCTTTCATTTTTTTGGAACTCAGCGAGGCAGGAGTGGGAGGCAGGTATTTAACTGGCAAGGTCTCTGTGGCAAACCTGGACTGCTTACCAGTACCGTGGGACAGGCTCCATACTGCACTTTGGGACTTAGATAGTATAGAAGGGGACAAATGGGTTGAGAAGGATAGCAGGAAGAGAAGATTCCTGAGAAGGGAAAAGGAATTGGAAACCTGGTGGCCAGTGGTGAACTCAGGGAGTACAGAAAATGGGATGCTGGGACCAGCAGTTA